TAATTGATATAATATTGTGTATCTAAATAGACTATCACAAACTAGTAGATCACTAGTAGTTTGTAGATCACAAATAAAAATTGTTACGGTAATTGTTTGAAATATTATTACTAACATCGTCATCAAAACATCATTAAAGAGGCTTCCGTTACGATTGCAAAACAAAAGACATTTGAATCGATGGAAAATACTACTGTCAGATTAGCTAAATTAGTTGGTTATATTAGTGCAGAAACCATTGAATATCTTTACAGTCATGAGAAAGATTTTTTTTTGTTTTCTTGAATTAAATCTAAGATTACAAGTTAAACATCCTATGATAGAAATGGTTTCTGTTGTGAATTACCTGCTGCTCAATTACAAATCGCTATGATATTTCCATTTATCAAATTCGTAATATTAGAGTGAAACTTCTGAGATTGATTTTTATTTTTCAGATCCTGAGTCTCTTCAAACCTGCACCAAAAGGTCATGTAATATCGTTTGTATAAAAGCGGAAAATCCTGACACAGGATTTAAACCAAGTAGTGGTATAGTGCATAAATATTATTTTCGCAGCAGCACGAATATTTCTTGGTTAATTCTGCTAGTAGCATTCATGAGTTTGCTGATTCTCAATTATGTTACAATTGTTATAGGGAGAATCGTCAATAATCTCGAAAGAATATGATAGTCGTACTTAAGAAAGTATTGATTTGTAGTGACTTTAGAACCACGGTTGAATATTTCATCAAAATAGATTGAAACTTAAGCTTTCGAAGATAATAGATTTACAACGGGACAACGGGTTGGTTGAACGGGTTAATATCTAATAAAAATCTAACAGTCGAAAAGCCTGATAAATGTTGTCTATGATATGCAGTGCAGTGATCAAGGCTTATACAGCAGCCATAGAATTCATAATGGAATATTAACGCTTCTTGGAGAAAGGACAAATCCTTAGTAGAGAGATATATTGCGCACCGTTTTCATCATCGATTTCATTTATAAGACATCCATTATAAATTTACGCTACTAGATCAGCTCCAAATTCTTTCACGCTTTATTTGAATGGATCAAGGATGCAAGTTTATGTTCGATGGTGGGTTATTAGTTTTGTTAGACAGAAAAAGCCATACTTGTTATTTTCGCGAAGTTCAAGAAATAAGATTGATAATTGATAGTAAAAAAACTTGTTTACTTGAACAAGAAAATGATCCAACAACTTCGTTCACTCTCTCCTGGAAAGCTTGTAAGATGTTTGGTGAAGTCTGACGATTATGTAAAAAGAGGTGACACTTACGCTGAAATTGAAGTAAGTTTTACAATTTTTATTGATTCGTAGAGGAATCATTTTAAATTTTATTATATTATATCATCTAAATAATTTATTTTAACATTAATATTATTCAGTGATAAAAATGTACATGATACTTATCGCAACAGATGATGTTATTGTTCAATTTATAAAACAACAAAACTCGACGCTCGAATCCGGTAACATTATTGGAGTTCTTACTCTTGATGACCCTAGTCAGTTCATCACGCATTACCTTTTGAGTGAGAATTTCCAGCAATGAATCCGCCTGTTCTAGTTGATGGCAAAGAGATATTGTAAGGTCAAGCATATCCTTGAATGTTATAAATTGTCATTATGGAGATGATAGTTATGATTACCAAACTCCAAGTTATGATTCTCTCACAGAATTAATTAATACGCAATTTGCTGTTTTCGTAGTTCTTCTGAATTTCTTTTATCATCATGATAGTTGGGTTGGGCTTACCGCATTAGAAGATTATGCGCGCTTATCATACCTATCAACTTATAAGCGTTGAATACCAAACAGATCAATAGTGCTACGACTGATAGTCCAACTGGTTCGGGTATGAGACGTTCATCTTCAAATCAGATTTAAGTTATTTGGTTTTGAAAATCATGAATGAACCATTTTGTGTTAGTACCATGATTTCCTGCATTTTGAATGAAGAAATAGAAAGAAATATACCACGAATTTTTCCAAAAATACAAGTGTTCAGGGATGGAAATCTCAGGATTCATCGGATAGAAACAATATAAATAATGTTTTAAGTATTGCTTTAAGGCTGGAAGATAATGCTAAACTTTGAAAAAATAACTCAAACCCTTATATAATGACATTCTTATGAATTACGTGAATATAGGATACGAAAAATTACTATTGTCCTATTTCGTAAAGTTCAATATCTGGGGTATTTCACATTCTGTGAAATAACAGATTTTAATGAGGATCAAACAATTTGTCATATCGAACCAGCCATGACCTATCAACTTGAGCTTACTAGGTTATCCAATTTTGATATTACTCCTTACCATACCGACAATAGACAGGTTCACGTTTATTATGCCGTTAGTAAAGAAAATTCTTCGGATTGTAGATTCTTTATTCGATCCTGATTGGTTGTGATAGTGTGTATGCAGCAGATTATCATATCTCGGAGTCTGACAGATTTTGAATTAGATTTTGGATCGTTAGTTCAGAACATAAAAATTCTGACTGCAATCATTTATTTATAAATTTTATTCCAACATTTGAGTTAGAACCAAAGCAAGTTGTGGAAGCTGTTAAAGTATTTATTAATCAGCACGACAAAAAATTATGGAGGTTACGTGTGATCGAAGCCGAAGTTCATTTCAAAGTTGAAGACCCTACATTAGTAACAGGTTATCCTTTATGTGTCATCATTAATAATGTCTCTGGGTATATTGTTAAAGTAGAAACTTATCAGAAGTGTGAAAACAGAACGTGAAAGCTAGAACCCATACACTTTACCTAACAAAAGAATGGCTTCAACTAATGCTCATTTAATGGGTATCGCCTACGCTTACGATTTTCCCGCCAAGCTATTAGAATACTTTGGAATTGTGCATCTCATCATAGTTTAAACCTTGAATGTCCTAGTGATGTATTGGAAGCCAAAGAACTTGTGCTTGACGAGAATAATAATATACATAAAGTGGAAAAAGCTTCGGAAACGAATTTAGATGGTATGGTTGCATGGATCTTTACTCTTTTTACCCCCCTGAATTTCCCAAAGGTAGAAAGATTATCGTGATTGCAAATGATATCATATATCACATTAGATCTTTTAGTCCTATAGAAGATCAATTTTTCTACAAAGCAACTGAATTGGCAAGATCATTGAGAATACCTAGAGTATACTTGGCAGTAAAATCTGGTGATTGGCAGAATCATTTTAACGTATATGAATTGATAAAGGAAATCCAAGCAAAAGTATCAAATATCTTTATCTTGATTTGGAAACATATAAGCAATCACATCAAAATGGAAGGAAATCTGTTATAGCAGAAAAAATTGTTTCGGAAGGAGAAATATGACATAAAATCACCGACATTATTTGATCAAAAGATGGGTTTGAATGTTTGAAGAGTTCAGGATTAATCGCTGGGATAACATCACGAGCATATGAGGACATTTTCACAATAACGTTAGTTACTTGTCGTTCAGTTAGTATGTATTCATTGCAAGTCAATTTTTAAAAAAGAAATTTTTTCTTTAACCTTCTTATATTTATTAAGGTATTAAAATTTAATTGGGAATAGGATTCAATAATCTTTGATTAAAATTAATATTTGTATAAATATATAATGTATTCTTAATTATTTTAAATATATTAATAATAAAAAATAAAAATTATTTTAATTTAATCACGTTTTAAAATTATATCCAGTTAAAATGGAATATTACGAATGATGTAAGTTGATCGTTGATGATTGTTCATTGGTTAACTTTTGTTTCTTGAAAAATAAATAAAGGATATTGCAAACTTCCTTTCATCTTTTCCACCTTTCTTTACTTTCTTTATTTTTTGGTATGTATCGTTTTTGTATTTTATTTAAAGAAAATTTTTAAAAGGAGTTAAAACAAAAAATAACTTATATTTTATTATTTCAAGAAATCTTTTAAATGATGACTCAAAGAACATGACAGGTACGCGTTCAAGGTATTAATCATGCTACTGTCACACTAAGGCGATGTTTAGCTTCAGCTTCTATTCCTCCTTCAGTTCCCCCTTTAATAGCTGTACCTTCTTTCATTCCCCCTTCTTCTACAGCTGTTTTTTCTTCTTCTTCCTCCCCTCTTTCTTTAGTTTATTCTTCAGTTTCCCCCTCTCCTTCACCCTCTCAGTCTTTCTCTTCTCATAGTTCTTTTTCCCTTTTGCTTTCAGATTCTTTCCTTTCCTTTCTTTTTCTTCCATAAATAGTCTCACTTTAAGTTTTTTTCATCACTCTTTCAACCTTTCCCCTCCTAAGTTTATACCTTCTATTTTATCTTCTTTTTCCCCTATTTCGGGTCTTCAAACGTCTCCCTTCCTATTTCTTCCCCTATTCCAGGACCTTCAAACGTCCCTCCTCTTATTTTCACTCCCCCTTTCCACTCCTCTTCAATTTCTTCTACCCTACCCAATTTTCCTTCTTCTTCCCCTTCATTTTTTCCTTTTAATCCTTTCGCTCTTCCTTTTTCAGCTCTCCCTAATACTACCGTGTATTATTCTCCTTCATCCTCATCCTCCTCCTCCTCCTCTTTTTCTTCCTTAAGTTCACTTTTTTTAACTCCCTCCATTTCTTCCACTATTTTCTCCACTTCTTCTACCCCCTCTCATACCCTCCCCATTTTTAATCGTCCTTATGTATATTATCATCTTCTTAGGTGGCCAGAGCTGATGGATCTTGATCCACCTAGCATTTTTGTTGCAACCCCATTTATTCCCCCTATAGCCAGTGGCCTGAACCAATGGATCTTGATTCTCCTGGTATATACGATACATGGCCATTGATTATGGTTTTTATCCCTTTCCCCTCCATTTTTAACTGGTCACCTCTTTTAGTTTCGTCGTCTTAGCCGATACTAAAAAAAATTAAAAAAAAATATAAAAAAAAAAATTCACCTTTTAATAATTTTTTCACTAGGGTGTTTATCTTACAATAAGCATGATTACAATGCAAAGGTATCATATCTGTTATATGAAGTTAGTTGCTTTATTGTTCCTTTTTGCTATTAAAATATTCTTCTTTTGGCCACTTCATCCATATTTTATTTAGTTTAGAATTTATTTATCTTTTAAAAAAAAAAATTTTTATGTATTAGTATTTCGATAATGTTTTGAGGTAAATTTTTATTTATTTTATTTCATGTTTTAAATTTATACCCCCCTTATATTTGTTTGCACTTTCTTCATCTCAAGTGATCTATCACATTTGATATTTGATGGTTTAACTTTCTTTAACCTGAACGAAGCTTGCTCACCTCTACGTAGTGTTCAGGATAAACAGTTATAGTTTGGACCATATCTGACCAAGCGCAAGCATTTTACATTCTTTTAAATGTGAAAAATTTTGTAAAATAAATAAAATTATTTAAACCTATTAAATCTTTTAATAAAACTTTTATTATTTCTCGAAAGACTCTTTTTTATATTATACAATAAAGATATGACGATATGTTAAAGTAGTATAATTAATCAGGCAATAAGAGATTAATTTGTAAAGTCTTTTTAATTTTTCAATCCTTTATATTCTATAGATTTTTACAAATTATAATCATTTTAAAATTTATTTACGGAAATAATGCGCATACTAAAAAAAAAAATATTTATGTTCAATAAAAATTTCACATCATCAATGATATAAAAAAATAATAATGAACAACGCTTTACATTTTCTTGATAATATACAGTAATAGAATGAAATGAAGTATTTGTTTAATTATTGCAGTCATTCCTATTAATATTTAAAAGGAATTAATATATTGATAATAAATTTTCCTTATAATCGAACGATTAAAAAGATTAAAAGGAAATATCTGGTTTTCTTCGCACAAACAAAGCAATGTTTTGAAATGATATCAAGGAATTATTCATAACACAAGGAGGAAGAATCTGTTTATTATGCTTTAGATTAATGGCTGTGATTACTCATTCTGCAATAATAATTCCACGGTGCAAAAGATGATAATCTGAATTTACATGGTCATTTTCTTTAGCAAATTTATCGAAAGTCCAATCATATCATCAGATCCTAAATTTTTAATTTTAATAAAAAGATTTTTGTCAGAAGCATTTAAAGCAGTAGCTTGTAATGTCTCTCCATTGTTGAAATTTATCAAATAATTCAAATAATTATACATATTTTCTCTAGCGACTAAAGTAGAACCTAGAAACCTATATGCTTCTCATGTAATACATCCTATCGGTAACTAACCTGACTTTATGTGTATGCCGCAGTCAACTTGCTCTTAATGATATTTTTACCCCAAAATTGGTCATTTTTTAGTAACTCCTGATGATGGAACTGATGAAGGTTATGTAATCTGATGATGCCATGATTCCTATGATTATTCTTCAGTAACATCTGATTAAGTCACTATTGCTAACAAATATTATCTCATCAGGGGTATATTGCATTTAGTTATATTAAATTTGCAAAAACCTCAGGAAGGTTTAGTTAGCGTTCAACGGTATTTTTTATGAAGAGGTGAAAAAATGATAGGTGGTATAATATTTCTAGGTGGATATGCATAAGTTTGCTCTGATGTTTACATTGGCAAACACTTATTAACTATTATAATGTCATTCAAGATTGAAGTTTCATATTTCAAGAAGAAGGATACAATTTATCTGAAATATACTTCTTTTTTTTTAATCATCAATGTAATTTAATTAAATCGAACCTTTCCATAAAAGACAGACATACTCAATTATCCATTCCTCATTAAGAATTCCTGAATGAATTTGCAAATTTTTTTAGATCCAGTTCTCTTGTATATATTTTATAGTTGGTCTTATTTCTGCTTCAAGATTAAGAATTGTAAATCAGTTTTAAATTATGTTATTTAGGTCTCATTTTCGGCAAATTTTTCTATGATTCATTTAAAAACTCAATAATCTTAATTTAAAGTTCGACTTTTTTCAGCTTTAAGTCTGGGTTTTTATCTTATCTCGTAAATTCTAGTAATAACTAATACATATCTGATAATGTATAATCGAATATCGATTGGGAAATAGCAAATTCGAATAAAAATTATGATCATTCAATAAACATAGATTATATAGTATACATACATGTACATGCGAATTAATTTTTTTATTTTTTCAATGAACAAACGTCTTGATATGTTATGAAACTTCATGAAAAAATACTACTAGAGTAGATGCAAAATTAAAAATATTTACGGGCTTGAGATGCTTGATTATAAAAATTATTAAAATTATTAAAAAGCTATAAAGTTCTAGAATTTATCCAAACAGAACATTTTTTTTCAGATTTATTCCCGTATAACATTTTTGCAATTTATATTTGATGATGTATAAAATTTTCAGTATTTTTGTTAAAGAAATTATCGGATTGAATTTGCTTTCCTTTTTATATATTTTGTAGTGATATACATATACATGATCTTGGAAACTATGATCGCATCATTTAAATCTGTATCAATATCAATTCATGGTATTTGTGGTTGTGCCAGCTTATACAGATAAATCAACTTGATGAAAACTTTTTTTCCACTCCATATTTTTTTTTTGTCTTGCAACAAAGTTCATAATGATCAAATATGGAATCCTCAGAAAGCCAAATTAGTGTATGTAATTAAGAGGAACCCATAATAATTTAACTTAATCTCATATATAACCTAAAATTCAAAAAATCGAAAATATCGTCCATAGGATTCACATGTATGCATAATCGCATCATAAAGATCCAATCAATAAAAAAAATTAGTTATTATTCATAATCAGATCGATTTATTATAATTCGACCAGTTTCGAGAAAGAAAAAACTACAGATATGATGATTGGTGATGAAAATTTGATCGCTACTTTTATAACCTTTTCTGATGCACTTAAAATGCAAATGGAAAAATTATTGTCAGTTAAGTCGCGCTGTTAGTGATAGTCTAGTTATGATGCATTAGTACTGCATCAATTACAATTAGCGAATGATGATCTCGTCAATCATAGATCTCAACTTTCTCTAATTTCTATAATTTCTATTATTTCTCTAATTTCTTAGCGATCTTAGCGATCTATAATTTCTTATATATCTTATATATCTTATATATCTTATTTATCTTTAATTTCTTATTTATATTATATTTCTTATTTTTCTTTACTATATTAAATATCTATTTCATATTGATGTATTTTATATAAATATCTTGTATTTCTGTCTCAATAAATGGCAGAGTCGCTATAATTCTTTAATAAATCAATAATATTTATTTCTTAACAATTATATCTTTGCTCAATATATAATTTCATACTTCTTTAAATCTATATCGATAAAGACGACTTGACCCTTCAACATAATTAATCTGTATTTATTTCTTCCATAGTTTAGACGCACTTAAAATCCCTGTTAGCAAATAATCTTAGTTAACTTAACAACGAATCATTTAAGCTAACAGTGCTTTTTTAGCATCTAATTTTAAAATCAAATCAAATTTGAATTTTGACCTTTTATGAATATGTAATGTACAAGTAAGAGTGAAAGTGATCTGAAAAGAATTACGACAAGTAACAATAAATGTTAATGTATCACAATTAAAAAATTCAAAGATTTTTTAATAAGGGATTCAACTAATGCTAAAAATAACATTATGTTTCTGCCATAATCTATCTAAAACTAAATTAACAACCCATTTAAGCAGAATTTAGACATAAATGTGTAAAATAAAAAATAAGAAATATTCCCCAACCGAATGTAAATATTTCACATTAAATTAATAATTTAGTTACAATTCCCCATTGCTTCCTCTTCCAAAACTCTTCTTTGAGAATATCTTTATAATTGCTCTAAAGTCACTGTTAAGTATTATCAGTTGTTGGTTTATAGTTCCGTATTTATAAGTTTCATGGAATCAAGGAAGTGAACTTGTCGCTTGACCATTTAATCATAAGGGTTTTAAGATTCATGCCAGATCCATCAAAGGATGACGCAACATTTTTTATTGCATTAATTCAACCACTAACTTAACTACTTGTTCGATAGAGCACAGTAAATTCTCATTGAAAAATAGTGATGAGAATCAGCTCGTCGGTTCAATTTCGGTTCTTCATCAGCTCTCATTAGTAAAATATGAGCTAAAGTCAAATTTATAACAGGTAGAACATGTAATGAAGATCAAAACTTGATTGGTCAGTTGTAATAACTGATTTGAGTATCGGCTTTAGAGTCAGTTCCAGGTTCTATTTTTAATATTTGTTAAAAGTAGTTTTAAACTAAGGAGATGAAGAATCTGCTAAATTTAGAATTAGTTCCAAGAACTGACTCGAATCGACTCATAACATTCCTATTGAAAAGTCGACATGTTGCAAATTTTTCCAACCCTCATTTTCTAAATAATACATATCATAAAAGATTATGTTCCATTCTATTACTGATCTCACAGAACATTCATACGCTTACTAGGCAAAATTAGTTACACCTAAATCAATTGCTGGCATTTCTGTCAGATCTTACATTTCGAGGTTTTTTTTGCTTTTCTGGCCCATCTGGCAGATCTGGATGAAATATCATTTTGGTCATTTCTGTCATCAGCATCAAATTAATTTGAATATCTGTGCTTAAGCCACGATTGATTGATATTTTTAAGGATTCGTAACAAGCCCTGAGAAAATTATTGTCATCATTTACAAAAACTAAAATAAAAAATTAAAAATCTCTTCTCACGAAATTAGGTGACAAACATATTTTTTTGATGGTTTAACATCTGGATGGCGTGTTGACACTATTCCTGTTTATAGTAGAGTTTGGCCCTAAGCATATTAAGAGCAGAAAAATACTGGGAATAATATGTTATGAAAATAAGCTGATTAAATACAAGTTCCGTTAACATATCCTTTAATATAATTTTATAACTTACCAATTTCACGCTCCTTTTCAAGATTCAAATTGGGACCTATGAAGCAAAATTATGAATAATATTAAAATATCATTAACCTATTCGACAAAAATGTGCATTTTGGGCTATCACAACCATTTTCTATAATTTTTATAAAGATGAAAGTTATTTGTGAGTATTCTAGCGAAGAACAGGTGGGCGTTCTTGCAGGAATGGTAGGCATCCCCTTGGATGCCGAACTATCTCTAAGATAGTGAACACTCTCAAAGGAACGGGTTCTTAAATGTTTAATCGCAAAGGCTAGCCATAACCGATCATTCTAGACCTCGAACCAGAAATTTTAAATAATTTTCTGAAAAAATTTTAATATTTTCTTGGAAAAACTCTAAGGCTTCAATTAATCACGTCTAACCCTCTTCTAACTTACCATTATTTATTTCAATAAAAAAAATTAGAGTGATATTCAATAAGATAGAGTTAGCAAAGTTAAGTAAGATACAATTCAACTTTTTATTTAATTTTGTTTTGTAGTGTATTGTGTATAAACATGTTCGTGAAGAAACTTGGAAATTTATATAGTTAGAGAGATATATATTTAAGGAACGATCACGTGAATAAAAAATTACATATTTGTTGAAACAACGACGTATTGATTATTTAATTATCAGATCAGACATGTATGTTGTAATTACAATAACAATCGACAAAGAATTTTAAAGTTACAAAAACATTCATTGCACCATACAATGTATTATAAAATAAAGTGTTGTTTTTTGTTTGATACATAACATTTATTTGAATTGTTCTTCAAAAATCTGACCATGATAATAGCGTCATATGTTGTTCATATATTTTTTAAAGAATTATTTTGTTTTAAAAAAAATAAAAAATTTATTTGATTTTTTATAAAATTTTCTTAAATTACAACATCCTCATACTTTTCTTAACTTTTTTATTACGGATCCCTTCTCAACTTATTTACATAATAAAGGACTTTATATTCATTGGGAATTATCTTATCAAATATAATAAGAAGTACCAAAATTGAGGTTTAAGATCCAAGTGTTCAGTGTTATCAAAATAAATTAAAAAAAATTAAACTAATAAAATCATCATGTACATCAAATGATAAAATTAAAAATAAAAAAAAAGATTCAGAAGTAAAAAAAAATTTTCAAAAATAATAAATAATAATAAAACAGATTAAAATCGATAAAACCTTATATCGTCCAAAAAATGTATGAAGGAATTTGAATTGCTTTCTTTAATACATTAAGAAATAATAAATTTTATTGCATGAGAATTGTAAAGTACTATTTTCATAATGATTCAAAAATTTTGAACTAACGAGCCTTTATTGTCAATGAATTCAGGTTGTAATAGTTCATATTTGACAGTTTCTAGCGAATGGTCATCATTAATTAGTCCAGGTATTTCTAGTTTTGAAAATCATCTTTGAACGGTCGGTCCATTAAATTTT